TTATATAGTTGTTCGTGAACAGCAGTTCATGAACTGCGTTTGTTTGTTTGATTGCTTGTTTGTTTGTATTTTGTTTCTTTGATACTTTACGAATTCCTTCATTCAAGGTCACATGTTCACGAACCATTATCTGTTTACGAACAGCTCACGCTCATGAACGTTCATGAGCAAAACATTATTTCTGATATTTTTCGCGTTATTAGTCGTATACAGTGACATAAACGGTTGCATGCACGTTTTATGTATTTGTGCAAACGCATCAATCTTATCTCAAGCACATGGAATCGTGACTTATAATTATTCTTTCAACGCTGAGGCTTTAATTATGCATTTCCGACCTTGCATAGCGTCATGTAAGACGTCACTGAGGTTGTTTGTTGCAATCGGACTTTTTTGCTAATAACACCCGCTCAAATTTAGCTGGCGAGTCGGTTGAGCTATCATTTGGCTCACAATGCTACTTCGAATAATATGAAGCACGACATCCACCAAGCAGCTTTGTAACCCGAGTGGCTTTGACCTGACATTGATCTGAGGTCAGTATCCTAAAGTGACCTAACCCACACAAAAGTAAAAGTTAATCATTTAACGCGCCTGGCCACGACGAGCACGATGGTGCCACCATTGCTGCTCTGCCACCGTTTGTGGCGAAGTTCTTTACCCAAAACCAAACCTCTACTTTGGGACACATGAGACTTTACACTTCAGGACACTTCAGGAGTTACCGGTTAGCATGAGACCTTAAAATCGGATATCAGTCGCTTTGACTCGTAGCGAAGCAAAGGTCTTATCCACCCCTCTGCACCGTGTTCGCGAACAGTTCATAAACGTTCGCGAGCTGTTCTTTGTTTTTTTTTTTTTTTTTGCTAAAATTTGGCAGATGAGATCACTTGCTCGCGAACAAAATTATTCGTAAACAGTTTATTTATGTTTGCTCATTAGTTCGGCAGGCGATGGGCCTCCCGGCCACCTTCCGCGCGGTGGGGGGGGGGCATTTTTTGCCCCCCGGTATCACCGAAACTACTGGACGGATCCGGAAAATTCAAACGGCGTTCGATAGCCCTGCCAAATTTGTCGATGGAAACCAAATTTCATTGACCTCGGGGTCACCGATGACGTCACAGGTCAGGTCAAAGATAAAATGTTTCACCGTTCACGGGGCTTCTAGGGAAAGCGCTATAACACCGAGTAAAACGCATTTTGTCGAAAATCAGCGATAGGGCGTCAGTTGTCTAGTACATATGTTGCTATTAGAGATCACTGGTCATACCAGGTCAGGTCACAGGTCAGGTCATCAGAGGTCACCAAGGGTCACCACATGAACCCAATTTTACTAAGGTTGTGCGATGCATGTTTTATGGCCAGTTTTTCATTTCCAACTCAATGGTGTTGGTTATAAGACAATCAGGTACGGTTTAGGTCACTTTCTGGTGGAGGTCAGGTCAAGGTCAGGTCAAAAAAGGTCAAATTTCAAAGTTGATATTTTTGCATAAAATGGGTATTGATTCGATGCAGCTCGTCACGGGGAGTCTAATGGTGGTCTTTTTTTGCGCTATGAGGTCTAGAATTGCTAAAAATTGAGTTTGAGAATTTTACGTCCTCAATTTTGAACAGTTTTTTTTGCTATAACTTGGCCAAAAAAAAAAGAGGTATCGATCTCAAATTTGGTATGTAGATAGAAGGCGGCAGGGACTATCAAATAGATTCCGTTTTTTCGAAATTCAAAAACGTTTTGGATTTTTCGGCTATTATATTCAAAAAATCTATTTTTTTATTTTTGGGGGTCAAAATCCAAAAATTTCAAAAATCTGAGATAGCAGTTTTGTAGTCCTCTTGATTTCACACCCTTTATGTCTGAAACATTTTTCTGTATCTCTAAAGCTGTAGGCCTGACAGCTCTTCCCGCGAAACCTTTTTTTGGGTCGAAAATGGCAGAAATGACGTCACTCTGACGTAATTAGCGTCCCACCTATCATAGCCTTTGGAAAAATTTTTGGTCACAATGTGCAATAGCTGTTCACGGGAGGGTACCGAAAGTTTGGTGACGATCGGCGCAGCGGTTCTCGAGATATATCGAAAAAACTAAAGGGGGGGGGCAAAAAAATGCCCCCCCCCCACCGCCTGGAAGGTTAGACAACAAAGCAAACACCTGGATCACGTGTTTGGATCACGTGATCACCCCGTATAAGAATCACGAGAAATGTGCATTGTTGGTACTGAAGCATATTTGAATAAAATTGACGGAGTTGTTTTGCAAATTGTTTTGCGACAGTTTTGCCGACGTTATTAAGAGCACCGGAATTTAACCTTTGAGTTATTCACGTGACCTAAGTGGTCATCGGTTGACCTGAGACCTTAAATTGGTTGTCATTCGCCGTGCCCCATGACGGCAGACCCACTCGCTTACCCCAAAGGCTCAGTTTTTGGTGAAACGGTGGTGACGTCGTGTAGGTACGTCCATCTCGACCGTTTATAGACCAGTAAAACGCCTTTTGGGCGAAGAACGAGCGAGCGAGATAGTGAGCCCTGCACGTGCGGAAGGGCAAGAGGGTGCTTCCAACGGGCTTGTGCAAAGCACCCTTCTAACCGGTCGCTTGCGGTGTGCCAAATTTGAACGCAATCGGCCCAGCCGTTCCTGAGATCTGGAAGCGGCATTCTGCACGTGCGCACGTGCAAACGGAGTCCAAACTGACTTTTGCACGGCACCCTACTAACTGGTCCCCAACCGTGTACCAAATTTGAGCGCAATCGGCCCAGCCGTTCTCGAGATCTGGAAGCGCCCCCTGCACGTGCGCACGTGCAGTAGCACCCTGACCGCAACACATGGGAATGCATTGCCTGGTGGGTGCCTACCTGTATGCCAAGTTTCAGCGAAATCGCCCCAGTAATCACCGAGTTATTGAAATGGGAACAAATTTGGCACCTCCTCTTTTTGTAGTTTGCACGTGCAGTGGGGGTCACTCACATAGATCAAGAGTACCCGACCTTTGGTAGAAGGGATGCAGCTACCCTACAAAAATTACCGTAAGACAATCGCCCAAGCGGCTGCTGAGATATGAGCCTCTCAAAATCACTACTTTTGCAAAACAGCTTGAACACCCTTGACTTTTCACGTGGCACGTGCCACGACGGTCACTGAGATTTATCAAAAGTAGTCAATTACGGGGTAGAAGGGATGGGGCTACCCAGCAAAAAAGACCGCAGGCCGATCGGTCCAGCGGTTGCTGAGATATAAGCCTCTCAAAAGCGTTACAGGCCGGGCCGGGCCGGGCCGGGCCGCTCATACTGAGATTTTTCCGTTATATTGAAAAGACTCGCTTCGCTCGCTGCGCTCGCTCGCTCGTAAAAACCGATAGGCATGGCCCGAGGTATGTGCAGTGTGCACAGTGAGGTACCTATACTTTAACATCGGCAATGATTAACATACTTGATAGCCGAAACGTCTGGTTGCTATCAATTTGGCTATTGTCATTATCTTTGATATAACCTTCACTTTGTCAAAGGAATAGAAAATAAAAGAAATAAGAAATAAAATAAAATTCCAATCCATCAACAAATGTCATGCATATGTTTTATCAAATTGTATAGAGATATAAATAACTCGAGTGTGGCATCAATTAGTATAGCCGTTCACGGTCGGTCACCAGGTGAACGGCTGTACCTAATTGGATCGTCACGAATATGCCTATTCGTGACGATCCAACGTCTACAATTTATATTGATCCAAAATGTGGGCATATGGCAGATACCTATCTACTTATCAGATGTCTATGCTACACAGAGTCAGATACCTATGCTGATGAGTGCGGTGTGATATGCTTGATATGTATGATATGCTTTGGTGCGCATGTGCTTGCATCCTTATCCATACATGGATTGCTTAAATACTTGGCTATTATTACCTTTCCTCAACCTGCCTCACGCTGCAAACGGCGATTCACGTAAATTTATAAGTTCCTGACACCACGTGCAATCTAAAAGTCCTCAAGATTGATTCAAATTGAACCTTGATTTGTGCAAATACACCTAGACACCAGATCGATGCAACGATATTGCAATGCATTGGTACGCATCCCCTTTACACGGGGTCTGCAATAGAGCATTTCGGCGCCTTCGCATTACTCGTTTCACATTTTTGGCCCGCACTATGCCCTCCCCCTTACAATCCAAAGTGAATGCACGTCCGGGCATATCCTTCGCTCAGAGTTATACTCGTACATACAATCATAGCGCCAATTACGCAACACTAGGTACTGCCTCTCAATCGATTCATTACAGTCCTCTGCATACTGCGTGGTAGGTATTCTTTTTTTTCGACAAAACCGAAAATAGCTCGAAGGTTATGTTATCGGTCACTCGGAAATCGTAACACCACGACGCGCGAGGTTCCACACCTTCGACTGGACTCATCATTGCTCATACATTTTCTACCCAGTTTGACAATAATACACAAAAGTATATATTTGCCCCTCAAACAAATTTTTATTTTATGATACACAATCGAAGGAGTGGAGCATGGCGCGTCTCGAGCAATGAGTTCCGATCGACTGATAACATGGCCTCTTATTATTATTGGTTTTGTTAAAAAAAAAGAACACTGCTACTGCACGCCGTGAGATGAGGGCTGTACACACTAAATACGTAGATAGTTTGCGTATTTCCGTCGCAAACTATCACGTGTATTTGTTCACCGTTACATTATCCTGCTATGTTCGATGCAATCTTATGAAATTAGAGAACCACGCACAATATTTACACATGAATATGCATTTCCGTTTCTTATTTGTTAATTTAACCAAAAATCTCGACAGCTGGTACACCGTTGGTTTACTGTATTTGTTATGATAAGCTGATAATGAACGGACATTGGAATAATGGACGACCGCAAGACGTTGGCACCGTGCGCTAATCATACACGACGTGACATAAGTAATACTAATGAGCCAACCTTTTTCACCACAAATAACACTTCCGTGAGCTCCCATCAGCTCGTACCTCACCTGGCCGTGCTCCTGATCGGTCCACGCGGAGAGATGGCCGGCCGGACTGCGCGCACTCACTGCATGGTCTCGGCTCCGCGGCCGACCGCAGTCGGCACCTCTGGCAGCACACCTGGTCCGCCACCCACCACCGCCGCCGTACGACTTCACTCTCGAAGCACGGCGGCGCGCCGCCCGCCCGGCCGGCCGGACCGACCGACCCACTTCCTCACCGGCCTTCAGCGCTCGCCGGCCGCCACGCCGGGCCAGATGTGGAATAGTGGTACGGCAGCGCCGGCGGGCGCACGCGCCGAAAAAGAAAGTAAGGCCGGCAGCGTGGGAAGAGGAGTGCGGTGTCCATGTGGTGGGCGGCGGCTGCACTGCGGTCGGTGTACGGTCAACAAACGAGCGGGGTGGGGAGAGTGAGTGGTGGCCGGGCGGCGCCACCCGGAACATCCAGCTGGGTGGAAATGTGACTTATCATAGAAGTCAAGGTAAACGACAACATGTAAACTCCAACTGGCTTGACGTCTCATACCTCCAGGAAGCCTAAGCGTAGATGCCCGTCACTGAACTAAAATCGCTCCAGAGAATAGACATACCACCGTCCAAGTGATAGTCCAAGTGAAACAGGACTCAGGGGTGACAGACAGATTCTCAAACGTTGGGTGGGTCAGTGGACCAGTTATTGACCCCAAATGAAGAGGGTAGGATAAGACCGGCAGTAGGTGAGATGGTCGGTGACAGTGGGTAGGTTAATCGGGTGACCGTCCCGCGGTAATGGGAGGGCCAGTGGTGGTGGATGTTGTTTGGGGTGCGAGCTATGCAGTAGGCAGCGGTGGGCGGTGAGCAGGTCAGTGACTGGTGGTGAGCAGGTCGGCAGCCGGTGTCGTGGGTGGGTCGGTAGAAGGTGGTTGGTGGTCAGGTCGGTAGAAGGCGGTGGGTGGGCAGGTCTTTGGAAGGTGATGGGTGGGCGGGTCGGTAGAAGGTGATGGGTGGGCGGGTCGGTAGCAGGTGTTGGGTGGGCGGGTCGTTTGAAGGTTGTGGGTGGGCGGGTTGGTAGAAGGTGGTGAGCAGGTCGGCGGCCGGTGTCGTGGGCGGGTCGTTGGAAGGTGGTTGGGTGGGTCGGTAGAAGGTGCTGGCTGGGCAGGTCGGCGGCAGGTGTCGTGGGCGGTTCGGTAGAAGGTGGTGGGTGCCGGGTGGGCGGGTCGGTAGCAGGTGGTGGCTATTCTGGCGGTGACTGAACTTTTGTCCGTGCTGGGTGGGTTAGTGGCCGTTGCACTGGTGGGTGGTGGGCGGTGGGCGGTGGTGGGCGGGTCAGTGACCGGTGTGGTGGACGGGTCGGTGGGCAGTGCTGGGCGGGTCGGTGGGTCGGTGGGTCGGTGGGCGGTGGTGGTTATGCTGGGTGGGTTAGTGACCGGGGCGGGTGTCCGTGGCCGGTGCTGGTTGTGCTGGCCCTTGGGATGAGTGAGTGAGCGGTGTCCAGCGATGGACGGTCGGCAGCCAACTACCCCCTCCCCCGCCCCCACCCGCCGGTCGGTGGTGGGTGGGTCGGTGGGTCGGTGGGTGGTGGGGGTTATGCTGGGTGGGTTGGTGACCGGGGCGGGTGTCCGTGGCCGGTGCCGGTTGTGCTGGCCCTTGGGATGAGTGAAGGCGGTGTCCAGCGATAGACAGGTAGGCAGCCGGTCCCCCACCCCCGCCCCCACCCGTCGGTCGGTGGTGGTGGTGGGCGGGTCGGTGGCCGGCCGGTGATGGTTGCTCCCACTGCTAACTGTTGGGGTGGGTGGGTCGGCGGCCGGCCGGCCCTCACCCGTCGGTCGCTGCACCTGACCGCCCGTCGGCCCACATCGCGCGTCGGATCTGGAGCGGCCAGGAGAAACCGTCCGGCCCGGCGCGTCCCGAATATGGCACAGCGCTCCGACACTCGCTGGCTTACTGATCTGGAAACATGGTCACGCCGGCGCTGGCGACGGCCGCCCTTTGTTGGTGGCGCGTCAGGACATTAACCGAGCACTCGGCTGACGCGGTAACCGCTAGTTCCGTCCTCACCGGCGATGGTAGACAATAGAGCTGAATATGGGCTGTCTTGACTGACATGGCAATAAAGCCATTTATGCAATCAATGTTGTGTGATCTGCCACGCGCATTGCCGTGCACGGCGACTGTATGTACGAGTAGGGGAAGGTGGGGTAAGACGGCCCAGCGGGGCAAGACGGTCCACCAGCCCTCCCGGCTGAACCGCTGCTGGTATCTACTGCTTTATGCACTCACTATGTTTGTTTTCCTTCGTAACAATGGCCACCTTGAGCTCATGCTGCTAGGATGCATAGCTTTTGAGTTATTGAGAAAAATGTTGTTTTTCGTCAAACCGATCTAATATAAGAGGTCTACGGGTGATTCAATTACGGCGCCTTTCTTGCATGATTAGTTTCTATTTTGCACTTAACTGTGAAGAACAAAGTTATAAACTTAGTTTTAGTCACACTTTAGGAAAGGCAAGGTTTTGCAATGTTGGGCTATTTGACATATACGTCATGATAATGACAGAATTTAGATTTGGGGCAAGACGGACCACTGTGGTCCATCTTACCCTGTGGTGGTCCATTGTACCCTGCATATGGAAAGTTCTTTTCCAAAACATTGACACTAGTTTAAGTAAGCTAATTTTTCAGGAAGGAGTCTTTGTTGCATGTGAGCCATGCATGCAAGTGCTCAGTTAGCATGCATTCATGCCAAACGACAATCAACACACATTTTCCCAGCTTTTGGCTGCACTTCCATCACACATGAGTAAAGAATAAAGGCTCATTTTGTTATTTTACCATTCTGGTTACTTTTTCTTACAAGAGTACAGAGCAGAAGTGTAACACACATGAACGGATAGCAGGCACTGCTGGGTGGTCCGTCTTACCCCACGTTTTTTCTTGTCTGAGTTTTTGACATGTCCCTCTTTAAGAGCATCCACCACCTAGATGTCTTTAATTTGAAATTTAGTCTTTACACATATCAACAGAGGAAGGATTGAGCATTCCGAAGACTATAAATAATATGAATTACGAGAGCAGTGTAGGAAGATATGCGGCCTCAAACCTTAGCTGGTCCGTCTTACCCCACCTTCCCCTACGTTTGACCACGCGACCTCCGTAAGCTTGGAACATCGTGACACCCTATAACCGACGAGCCTATTGCGAAATAGCATGATGGGTGACGCGAACCGTTTCTTAGCACCGCCGTCTTTTTAATCCTCGGCATCATTCGTTTAATTGCTTTATCTTTCTTATTGTAGGAACTCCTGGCTAGTGGCTGGAATGTGACCGCTAACAGGAAAAGAAGTAAAGAGGGTCTCTCTTAGGGTCAGCATAAGCCTCGTTGAGTTGAAAATAAAAGCGCGACTCGCTTGTCTGTCTCTGGTTTAGGAGTTCATTCCTCGCGGGCCCGCGGCTGTGCATTCCTGAAATATCGGTCTTGATGCTCGTTGTCTTGCTATTCACCTGACTAGGCATAGGTACGGGCCGATCGTTTTGTCTTAACCCATGCCCGCCCTCCACATAGAAATACAGTTCGCAGCCGTATTCATCTTGAAGGAACACTCTGTGATTTCTCGCCTTTCATCAAAAGCCGAATCAACAAAATCCACTCATATTATATTTCGTTTGGTTACGACGGGGAGGTTTCCTTTGACATTGCAAATCCACAAGTCACAACTAATGATGTTGTCCGAGGATGTCGAGGATAGTGGGTATCTGCTGTCGAGCAATGGCAGCCTAATACATTGGGTGTTTGTTCCTGTCAAACATGTTTAATATCAGCACCAAGGGAAGGGTCCTATATGAAAATACAGGGTCACGGCACATAAGCAGGCATGTCATACATTTCTGATTTCACATACACATCTCGCAGCTCCAAAGCTGCCTAAGAAGGGATTGCATATCACGACCACATACTGACCACGCTCACATATTGCCGACGAGCCAGCCCTTCACATCGGTCCCAGCAGGCGAGCGACAGAGAACGACAGGCCACCTCGCTTTTCGCCGCCTACCGTGGCGTCATCTACACTGGCTGAGCTGGCCGGCGCCCCAACTACAGGTTCCGACCCGGCCGCCAGGGGCTGTGCGAACGCTGAGCGCTGGTGAGCGCCGCAGCCAGCGGACGTCGGGGGATATGGGCGACTCCTGTCCTCTGCTGATGAGCCGGAGCTCTCCCAGGCCGGTGATGGAGTACGGGCCGGATCAGCTCCAGGGGAGAGGCTCAGTGGCTGTGAGCAGGCAGAGCCCGGTGAGCTGGTGAGCTGTGAGCACGCTGAGCCCGGTGAGTTGACCAGCTGAGGACAGGCCGGCTCGGCAGGGAGCAGCAGCGACCTGCCGAAGTCGGGCCGCGGTCCCAGGCTGAGCTGCTGCAGGGTGGGTGCTAGGTACAGTGGCTGTAGAGCGGCCTGCAGCAGCGGCAGGGGGCGCAGCGGCAGCAGACGCGCCAGACGCGCTAGCGCGCCGTCCGCCGCCAGCTGTGCCGGCGGCGGTGGCGGAGGGGGCGGAGGGGGCGCGGCGCGACGCACCATATTCTCGTATTCCTCTCGGAGAGCGGCAGCCTCCAGCTGGGAGTCGGCCAGGGCGCGGCGCCTCCGCAGTTTGTCGGACATGGGTACCTGTAGCTGACCGCAGCGCTCCTGGCCGGGGAGTAGGCGACCCAGTCGGGAACGGTAGCCTGGGTGAGAGAAAGGCAGTAGTGTCAGGTCGTATCACACACAGAGAAACAGACCTGAGGTCACATAGGTTACAATACCTATCTTTTGATGTCAAGCAGGTCATATCTCTTAGTTCAAACGGGTCATATATCTGAGGTCACGGTCACAAGACAGATTCACGATGTCACGAAGGTCACACGACACATTTCGGAGGTCACACGGTATCAATTTTACCACTGAACATTAGTTTTAATCGGTCTCACTTTAATAGTAAGAAGATTGGTCACTGGTCAATGAGACAGGTATTTGTGAAGAACGGACAAAACTGATCAGCGAGACGATCCCATGAAGACAGGGATAATAGGATCGTATCGTTGTATTTTCAAGCGAAGAATGACAATGGTCAATGGAATATATATATTCGATGCATATACTGAACAGGCGTATCCAGGCGTCCACCGCGTCCAGAGCGTTCATGGAAGTTGCATATGAAGGACAAAGCAGACCTCTAGTCTACATGCGTATTGTTTTAATGGAGAGCTGTTCCGTGGTTATTGCAGGGAACAACAAATTTTTAACTCTTTTAAATAAATACATAATTTGAAAAAAAATGTTTTCTAACTGAGCAGACTTCTTCAAACAGACTTCTTCTAACCCGACGCGCTGAGCGTTAGGGTAAACGGCAAACGCACGGTACGTCAGGCGCTTGCCACCACCGATTCGCATTTCGCCGGGTCCATCCCCCGCTCCCCTACTGTCATATTGTGGAAACTGGAGACGCATTCCGAGTCTCGCCGTCACCCCGTCTGGGCCCGCCGGTTTCCCGTCGCCGTCTGGGGACCGCCAGACGTTCTGACGTCTCTGTCCGAGTCCCCCAGTCGCGGCGGCCCCCTCCGGCCGGCCCGCGAGGCTGAGTGTCGCCCCGCGCGGCTGAAGTGTCGCCCCGCGCGGCTGAAGTGTCGCCCCGTTTCCGAGGGCGATATATTAGGTGAGGTGATTAGCGGGCGCGGCCTACAGCCGGCCGCCGGTGTCGGGGAGGACAGGACGGTCTCAGGACGGTGTGTCTCCGGCCTCACTCGGCGTGTCGCCGGCCGGCGGCGGCGCCTCTCATCAGCGGCGGTGGCACGCGCCGACCGACCGGTCATCAGCGCGTCACCACAACGGACGTCTCTGTTCCGGCGTCGGCCGTTCCGGGTCGTTTAACCCGAAGTAGGCGGCGGCGGCGGCTATTCTGACACCGATGTCGTCGTCTGTTGGTCGTGCTTTGATGCCTCCCCGCTGGCGGCGAGTTCGGATGCCAGCCGGAGTGAGGCCACTGAAGGCACCTTTCATTGCGGTGTCGTCAGTCACAGTCTCTTGTGACAGGCAAACTAAAGAAATGGAGAACTGGGAGACTGAGAATTGGACTCTCAAACAAATTGGAACTGTGCGGTCAGTGATACAAAACGATGTAAACGTGACTGTTCCAACGACACCGAAGAGCAGGATTCTTGAGGACAGTGCCAGCGCCACCGGCCAGGACTCCACGGTCTTCCCATTAATATCTGTCACTGTGTCTCAACCCTCACCCACTGTGTCTGGCTCGTGAGAGGCGCATATTTCACCGGAAGGATGTTGAGTGCGTTCCCCATCGTCTAGCTAACATGATCGGAGGGGGCCCGGTGGAGGCGCGTCAGGAACGTCGCTGTCCTGGGGATCGTGCGCCTCCCCTCGCCGGTACCGCGGCACATCCGCCACGCTGACTGTCCCGCCGACAAGCGGGAATCCACCGAAATGCGATGCAGTTTGTCCCAACAAGGCGAACTGATGCAGCGTCGTGAATTGGGCAAGAACAGGCGGCTGACTGCACCGCCGTGTAATTGTTGGATGATGATCTTGTGGATTACGATAACGGTACTGTCTCCGAGTAGCAAACAAATAACAATGAGCAACATGACCTTTCGGTATAGGTACGTTCGTGCCCGTTAGACGGTGGTATTTTGCGTATTAAGTATGAACGCAACGTGCATATATTCTCACCAGCCACTGACTTCTGAGTGTCAAGAAGGCAACAAGAAGGCGGCTCAATAACCGTTTTCACGACGGCCATCTGGTACACATTTGGTGAGCATTAGGTGCAGATTCGGTCAAAGAGAGTTCAGTGTTCACTATGTTTCTTAGTTGCTATCAGCTTGGGTTTTTGTCAAATTATCAGACATTATCATTGATTAGAACACTGAAATAAATTCATGATATGAAGATATTTGCTGTAAGAGATTTCGTGCAGATTTGGTCAAATTGCATAGGTGCATTCGCTAGATAGCCTGTCGTGAAAACGGCTAATAAGAACCAACCAAAAAACATTATTCAGTAATTCATGTAAAAGGTAACCTAAAAAGGCAGCACGCGGATTGCTTCATCGATTGAGTTCGAGGGAGTACATTGGTACGTTGTTATTGGGAAGAATCAACCGCAATTTACGGGACATAACCAACCCACATATTGCAACAAACTATGCACATCTTGCAAGTCTTTGGTCTTCTTCACAAAACTTGCTGGTTAGTAGATAAGAAATACGGTCGCGGGACGCTGGATGCACGTCAGCATTCAGCTCTTCGGAGGATTCTGTGCAATGCGGGTTGCCTACCCGCAGGCGCGTGCTATGCGGGCTGCTTACTCGCAGGCGCGTGTTGTGCGGGTTGCCTACCCTGCAGTCGCCGACCGCCGGCGCGCCGATGAAAAGCAGACCAAGTGCTTTCAATGAAAATTTCTCACGTGTTTCTCACTCAGCAAAGTCTTTGATGAGGCATGGACAAGCCGGAGGCTGGTAAAAGATTTGATGCACGGCTGAACTCCTGTCGGTTGTGGTTAAGGGTCGAACCAATCGGTGAGTCTAATACAAACGGAGCAGAGCATCCCTCAACGTACTGACTGTTAAGTATGTGATACTCAGTTGAAGAGCGTCTCATCGTGCCCCAACCGCGGACCACGGTACTCACTCTGGAGGAGGTCCCGGGCCAGAGTGCTCTCTTTGAGTGTCCTCAGGTGGTTGTGGTAGAGTTTTCGCTGCGCCACCAGGGCCTGTGAGGTGCGCGGTCTTCGGTCGGAGCCGGCGCCGGCCAGCTCGGCCGACTGGTGTCTGAAGCAGAGACGGGATAGGCGTCACATGATGACAGAAACACAGACGCACAAACCACAGATACAGATACAGCGTCCGCTCCTGACAGCAACATAGGCACAGCAAATAACCTTTCTGGATCTACTAGCGCACTTAAACATTTATACTTCGTTGCATATTTTAAAACGTTAATTCTATTCCTCTTTCTTCTCTGTCTCAATCACGAGTTCTAAACAAACCATAAAAAGCTAGTGTTGTTCTCCGCTCGCTCATCCCAATGTTTTTCTTGTCGTCAGCTAAAAACTATGCGTCAACAATCGGCTCGGCTGTCGAGTGTGACAGAGCGTTCCGTCCCTCCCGCTGTGATCGGCGCCACACGACAAGACGCTGCAACTCTGCGGCATCGACCCACCGGCAGACGACGGTCACCTGGCGCAGTTTGAGTTGGCACCGCCCGACACACACTCACGGTGGTCCTAACGATCGCTAGTTGGTCGATGGCTGCATGGTAAAGTATGACGAAACAATTGTCACTGACACTACATGTAGTAAATCCTCATTGAAAACTGACCATGTCCTGCATTAAATTTCTGTGGAGTGGTCCCAACTCCCAGCGCACATAATTTCCCAATGGGATAGGAGCTCTTCTACCACAGTTTGCACATCAACCTGTTGGCTGTGTGGTTGGCCGGGATTTCCACAAGCGCCTATGTATCTCCCCATGTGCGTTGGGTCCCACCACAGCCAATGGAGCCATCCCTGCGTGCGGTGGGTCCCACCAGAGACAGCATTCCTGGGGTTCCGGTCTGCTGTCCCGCATCGCTGACAGGATCTGCGGTGCGACTATTTCCGAGTCGCAAGACACAGCTGTCGTCGATCCAGCGTCGCAGGGGTTCCGAACACAACCAATCAACGGTCAGACAAAAACGACCCCAGTTGCACAACTGTGTGACAGCCGGATGGGTGGCGCAGTTGTTCTAGTTTGCATTGTCACATCAGGCACGAGTTGCTTTGTTGAAGGCAGACGAGGATCATTGTGTCTAGAAGACTTTTCTTTCGTCGGTTCGGTGGATCGTACCGAGTATGTAATTCTGCCTGTTGCCGATCTGTGGCGTTGTTGTTCGTCTCGCTACCTTCCAGGCGCTGCTCTGCGCCGATGCCGTGTATCCGGTTCCGCTCTCTCAGTCGGCACCGCTCTCCGGCCGGCGGCGGGCCGGTTTTTAGCGGGCCGGCGCGGGTGGTCCTCCGCCAGCTGGGCGAGCTCACCGCTCCGACGGCGCCACTTATCTACCGGGCACCGGCGCCTCAATGGCCGGCTTCTTTCTGGGCCGGCTGACGGTCTGTGTCAACAGAGGCCGCGCCGGCACGGGCCGCGCCGAGCGCCGCCGGCTGGGCTGTGTCGTCGCCCGAGAGCGGCCGCGCCGCCGTAAATTCGCGTGTTTATCCCGGCCCAGCCGGTGACGAGCGGCCGTCCAACTGCTGTTGCCACTTGGTCAGGAGTAACGACTGGTGGGCGCCGTGCGCGGCACGCCGCCTGTTTATTTGGGCCGACAATAGATACAATTGGGCGAGCTGCGAGCGCCTCTGCCGGCGTCAGGGGGCTGGGGGGACAGGTGGCCCCCAGCCCCCCCCCCATCCAAGGTAGATCGTCGCACAGACAGCTGAGCCGGCCATTCGCTGAATATAGTCGAACCCCTCCGGCTCAGAAACTGCAGACTTCACAAACGTGGCAGACAGAGGAGAATGTTTCCATCTGTGCTTCTCTTCCAACAGCTGCGCGAACTGGGTTCAAGCTAAACAATACGGTCATCACAGTTTCTTTTTCGCTAATTTACGATCGCTGAGTAACGGTTTTCTTTTGTTTGGAGTTTGAGGTATGCCTCCAGAGTAAATTGCAATAGACACAAATCTTAGCTATCGCAGTGAATCCTCTAACACCGGGGCCATCGCGTTCCCTTATGAGCACGCAGTATTCCACGGATTTCGTGTGAAATAAAAATGCATCTGACCGCCAGGCCGCCAGTATTTGGATCGCAGCGACCTCAATCATAGACAATGACTATTATGGACGCATTCGACAAAAAATTGTATCCAGCTACCCTTCTGTGAAAGGGTAGCTGGATACAATTTTTGCCCTTCAGCCCTTCTGTGAAAGCTGTTTTTAACAAAAAGGTACCAGGATTTCAAGACTCTACTTTTACCTATTTTTCACGAGACACGAACCCTAAAACTTTTTGAAATATATTTTCAGCAAACCGTGTGCGCATTTCAGCTGTGATCACTTTTTACTCCGTCTTACGTCCCCGTTAAGTTGTTTAGGTAGGTATGTATAAAACACTATGTAACAGAAAGATTTGAAGTTACATTGATTGATTGATTGATTGATTGATTTATCGGTACCGCTGCGAGGGAAAAGGGGAAAATTTGTCAGTGGTAGCACTGAGGTCAAATAACTACTTGGCTAGATAGATCTTTGTCGGAAGTCGAGATTATCCATTAGTCCGCTTGAATTTTGAAAATTGATCCACCTTGATCAATGATCCACAAAATGATCGGAGATAGAATGGGTGCCTAAAGTCCCTTCCTTGTCCATATAGGGCGGGCAGTGTCTGAAAATGGCCTACGTGGTGCGGAATAGGTAAAGCAGCCTTATGTGTAGTTGCTCTGATTAAGTGCACGGAACGATTGCCTCAGAGCATTTGATGATTGATTACAGGATAAGATATATGAAAGACATTTACCTATCATATTTTATACATAGTCGACTTTGGTTCAGAACTCAGGTCAATTTTGCAGGATCCCCCTTCGAAACTGAGGGAGTTTCGAAGGGAGTTTCGTTGCGAGATTCGGAGTCTCGTTTCTAGTTTCGGAGGGAGTCAAAGGGAGAAAGTGGATCTGCGCGTCTTTTGTAAAGTGTTTCTTATGGTGCTCCAAAATATCGTTTTAATTCTGAATTAAAAAAATGAGTCCATTATCACGAATTATGTACATCAATTGAGTTCATGTAGTATAGTCGACTGCAGAATGATGTTCCACCCCTCAGAAGCTATCAGTTGACCGGAGCGCTAAGTTGTGCCGTTTATCACGCAATTAAGCGTGTCGATTGTGAGCATTGGGACAAAGCTATAATTTGTGAACTCAGCCCGTGTGATGCGGCACAGCCTACCACTCCAGGCAAATAATTGCCTGTGAAAAGTGGAACCTCATTCTGTAGTCGACTATACATACCACACTGATCTTCGGAAAAGATGTTGATGCTAACCGTGCTAATTGCTATATCCATTATCTACAATCCTTGATCAAATGTCAAAAATTCATCGGATGCATTTACCTTTTCCATGGTTCAGAATTTAAATTGTATTGGACAAACGGTCTGCGGAAAACGGAATTTGAATCAAATATCCATTTACAACAAATTAAACCAATAAATTGCATACCCATAGTTTACCATGCCGGTATAACCTGGCGCAACAGCAAAAACTTATCATTATACGGATGGGGAAGCATAAAAGAGCCTCTGTAAAATCGTGTTTTGATTTTCGATGGTGGATTTTCATATACCTATCCTGACGTCACTACCTCCTGCCCGAAAATTTCCTCGAGGCGACTGACCATACACTGTTGGAGGGATGACTGACCCCCGCTCTGAGAAGGGGCGGCTGACTGGCTGGTGTCGCCCTGACTGACCTGCGTAGGGCCACCCCATTCGGGGAGACCGCTGAAGGTGTGTGTGTGTGGGGAGGGGGGGAGATCGACTGACCTGCGCAGGGCCACCTGAGCGGCCATCACCCGCTGACGCTCCATCACCAGCAGGCACGAGGCGCACTGGCAGTCCTTCCAGCGGCACAGCCTCTTGTGGCCTTTGAGGCACGACACAACGCCGTGGTTCCTGCAGCGGGCACATTTGGGCGTGCGCAGGGAGCGCCGGCGGGCGGCCGTCGGTTCCGGGGTCTCTGAGGTCGCCGCCTCCCCAGCGGACCCCGCCGCGGCGGACACACTCTGAAACAGCGACGACAAAACTATGTAGACAACACACTCACTGAGCAAGCTCTACTGGATGACTACCGGCTGCAGAGGCATAACACTCAATGAGGCAGCTCCGAAATGGGTGGCTCTACCCGGCAAGTTTACCCATTTAGCCTCTCCTAATGCGGTCATTAGTGTCACTGCTGTGTTGCAGTATTCATATTGCATGACCAACGGTGCTACAAGGATATACATTTTCAAAACAAACTGCATTCTCTTACCCCTGGGCCCTCGGCATTACGTTTTGTCGAAATAGTCCCGAGATGCTTTCTTCCTAATGTTCAATCTCAGTCTTGACCCTCTGAAATTTATTACCATTCGGTTCGGCACTTTTAAATACCATCATCGCCCCCTTCCTCCTCGACCCTCCACATTGATAATTAATAATTCCTCTTGACCTTCCTCAAGAATCATTTTACCTCATGAATCTCTTACAGTGACTCACGCAAGTTGCTACTTGCATGCAAGTTCATATCTACCTCAGCCCGCGAGTTAATAAGGTGTTGTCATTGGTGAGCGGCAAACGAGCGCAGGATGAAAGGGCTAAGGCCGCTCGAGAAAGGGGACGAATTAGTCGAGGGAGGGTTCATGATAAAAGCTGGCAAAAGCTCATGTTTGCCAATAGGAAGCTAGAACTGCTTATATCCGAGATTTGTTTCCTAAGATGCATAGGTAACTGTTCTAGCGCTGCCTGGACAATTCAACACAATGCATATTAATCATTGCTTAAATAATGCAGTATTGCTACTTTTTTAACCCGCGCCCCACTGGGGTCTGCGTATAACACGCCCTACTGGGGGGGGGGGGCTATTCATAGCCCCCCCTCCTAACTCCGAAACTACTGGGACGATCGTCAAAATTCAAACGGCGTCTGATAGCCCCGGAAAAATTGTCGAGCGAAACCTAATTTCATTGACCTCGAGGTCACCGATGACGTCACAGGTCAGGTCAAAGTAAAAATTATTAGCATTTTGGCTTCTTCACGTTTTGGGCTCTGGCCGCCGTCTTACAAGTCAGATCAGGCTCATTTTTGGTTCACACACTCGTGAACAGATGCTCTAGATACCCTGAGGGTACCAAACTTGTACTTTGATTTTCAGGTCAAGGTCAGGTCATCACAGGTCACGAAAATATTATATCATCCGTCGGTCACGTGACACATGTTTTATGGTCCATTTAGGCCAAACATTTCGAATTTGATGTCGTCTTTGTCATTCGAGGTCATTTTGAGTCAAATTTAGCTCAGGTCAGGTCACTTTCAGGTCAAAAAAGGTAAAATTTTGAGGTTAACATTTTTAAACAAAAAAGGTGTCTATTGGATGCAGTTTGAGCTCAGGAACACGATGGTGCTATTTATATTGGCGTACGATGTCAAATTGGTGCTGAAAAATTGATTTGAAAAATTAATAATTGTTAATTTTTTGCAATAATGCGTATAACTTGGCCATTTTTGAAGATATTTAGCTAAAACTTGCTAGAGTTAGTCATAATAATGCGTTCTATCACATATATTCCGGTTTTTTCGAAAAGTCAAAATTTTTTTGAAAAAAATGTAAAAATATAAATTTTTAATTTTATTATATAAAATTTTCGAAATTTTCAAAATTTCGAAAATCCGAGATAGCAGTTTGATAGCGCAGTCTATTCTGAGACCTCTCATGCAAAGAAATTGGATCTAGCTTAAAAACTGAGCTCTTGGGAGCGATTGCCGTGGTTCAATGTTTTGCGTCGAAATCGGCCGAACATGACGTCACTCTGACGTCATTTCCGGCCGACCTATGGTAGGTACGAAGTTTAAATTTTCACACCAGGTGTCAAATTGATGCAGCCAAAGGTACTGAAAGTTTGGCGTCAATACGTCAAGCGGTTTGGAAGTTATTGCAGAAAAACGGGAGGGGGGGCTATAAATAGCCCCCCCCCCAGTGGGGCGCGGGTTAATGCTGTGTGACTCACCTTGCTATTCTCTGGTGCCATGTCAGCTTCCACTGCAGTGCCGACGCCCACCGTCACCGTCCTCTCCCACAAATTGACCTAAGGGTTCTGCCGGTCCCATGGTCGGACAACCCGCTCCGGAGCGCAGCACCTCATTGGCCGGCCGTCGAGCGGTGGGCGGGGCCTCAGCCGACACCGACCAATGGTGAGCGGTGCGCTAATCACCGCTGGTGGTGCCAAATCGCGCCGTGTGACAGCGCCCCCCGCCGGCCGGAGGTGTCACCGGACACTGGCACCTGCCCGCCGCAGGTCGACGGTCGGAAACACCGGCCGACGAGCCGGCGGACAGCTCCGCTAACGAGCCGACACAAAATGGAGCACTTCGCGCCCGGAGAGTCAGCCAGAGAATACCGCGAACAACAATATTACACAAAACAACCGTACTGCCGAGTTGAAACATCTGGAGCTAAAAAATAAGCCAGTACTTTCAGCCAGCATTTCACTCGATACATGGGACGGGGCCATTCGAAAGCTGCTCTGCAGGTTTAATGAAGCTGCTGCGTGCAATCTGTCAATCGAAAAGGGCATCCATGGAAAGCTTTGTTGCAGGGGCGGCGGATTCGGGGGGGGGGGGGGCAGGGGGCAGCTGCCCCCCCTGGCAAAATCGTATCGTGGGGGGGGGGGCAAAAGTATCTTTTTGCCCCCCCCCCATAATTTGTGACAAAGCTTAAACAAGAAACCATATACCTGATTATTCTGTTCGATCATCTGAAGATGTAACCAGATGCTCATATACTTTCATACGTTGCCTTTCTTAAATGGCAAGCGTTCGCGTTCAATTGAAGTTTTCCTCTCTTCAACCTAGTTTTGGAGGCATTAACGTCAACGTGACGCAGCGGCAACCCAGGCCTTCAGGAACCGCTTACAGGGGCGACAGATACGGGGTGGCAGAGGAGGCATCGTCCCCTAAGAAACTTTTGGAGGAGGGGCAAACGTATATTCTTGCCCCTCCATAATTTGTGCCCTAAACACGAGGAAAATTTCCATAACCTGATATTGCAGCTATGCGCTCCTACAGTTTGTCCAATTAACGGTGCCTTTTGAATATGTGTAAATGCAAACCATTTCCGCTTTATATCATTTTTTGCAGGGGCGTCGTTTTGTATAGGCCTGGGAGTGCCCGAGCACTACCAATGTTTAGCTGAGCACTACCAATGTGTTGTTGAGCACTACCAACATTTTTCTTCACTTATTGAGAAAATTGCATTCAAACATGTCATACAAATAAAATGAATGAGGTTCTTATGTATAAAATCAACATGATAGCAAGTAACTTCAATGGTAAGTGGCAACTATTGATGAAAATCTATAGACTTACTCCACAAGTAGATTGAATTTGAATTGGTTGACCAATTCAATCTTCTTGTAGCGTACCTAAGTCCATAAATTTCCATCAATACCTAGGTATCATTTTCACTTTCCACATCATGTCATTACGTCAACTTTTTTGTCTTTTTAGATTCGATTTAGAGATATTTTAAGTGTGCAAGAGACGCAACTCATACCTTCAGTGGTCGTTTGCCGCTATTTTGTACCTACATAAATGCCAAATTGCAAGCGATCGGAGACGGAAGGGCTAGCCATTCGCTTGCGGGTAGTTAGGACTGATGAGCGCTCATAATAAGCCACTCCCCTGTTTTTTTTCAAGCGCAACAGTTTCCAGCGCATAAAATGGTAAACGCCGAGGTCGTACACATTGACCACATTGACCAATGCACGGTTGACGGTATGGTATCACACCCAAAGGCCAGTCATCAGAGATCTGCTTTGGGCATTCGGATGCTTGTGTGGGGCCAGTGTTAAAACTGGATTTTCACAGTTCAGTATCCGCTTTATTTCAGTTTTCACTATTAAAAAAACAAAAATTAATGATGGAAACTTTTGAGGGTTAGGGCACTGATCATTAGTGCCCCCCCCCCCTCTGTCTAAAGGCTGGCTTTAGAATAAAGAGCATCAAACACGAACAGTAGCGGCGGAACACCTTCAATTAAGGGGGGGGGGGCACTGCCTACTTTTGGTCCCATTCTTTCCATGCAACGCCCATAGGGCTAACGTTAAAATGCCAAAATCAAAGGGGGGCACGGTGCCCCGGTGCCCTCCCCGTTCCGCCGCCTATGAACACGAAAGCAAAATCTAAGGCATTTTGGAAAAATGAGTATGCCCCGCAGCGTCCGATAACTACCACCTTCCAGTGGGTCAAGCCAACGGGGCCCAAGTCTATAATGGCACTTAACGATAGCACTAACCTTGTCTCACTTTTCGTTGAAGTCTGTTCCGGATGGTTTCGGCCACAGACTGGCTGCACTGAGGTCGTTTGGTATGTGCAACTGTAATTAAAGCCACCTGATGCGCCCTGACACCAGGCTGAAGCTGGGTTGGAAATGCTTCGTCTTTGCAGATATCACTGGCCACTGATTCTCGAGTGCCTGAACCGGTAGATGTCGTGGCAAAATTTGGTGTGATAATTTGGACCTTACCGCAGTCAGCACACCCTAAAGCCCTAATAAAGAAACGCCCCACCCAGAGCTTCTGGATTCTCGTTCCAGTCCACCGTTCCTTCACCTCAGCCCGCCGCCGCGCTCCCTTACCCTCCGTTCCCAGCTTGACGAGCGTTTGGGCCTTAGTTAAGCCTTGCTGTAGGCTTACTGTATAAACCCATCGAGACAGCCCGTCTCGGTGAGCTTATTTGTCGAATTTGCTTATTTGCCTTGGGGAGGGTTTCTGGCGGATCGCTGTCCCAATAGGTTTAGATGCGATCGACTGTCTCTGAATGTTTGAGCGGTCTCCTCCCGCTGTAAGCTAGTTTCAGTTGATATCTGTCTCAGAAATACTTTTTAAAGGAAGGTTAAACGGAAATCGAACGTAAAATGAACAGAGGAAATGGTAACGAGTTACCTCATTGCAAAGAATAGCGCTCGCCTACTTCAAAAGGTTTGGCACCGTTCTTCAACATCTGATATGCGATCGGGTTATGGCACAATTTTTCCCATTGGAGCTTTTTTCTAATACAGCAATACGAAAAGCGTTACATCGTCCACTGGCGGATCCAGGGAGTGGGCATTTAACCCGCGCCCCACTGGGGTCTGCGTATAACACGCCCTACTGGGGGGGGGGGGGGGCTATTCATAGCCCCCCCCTCCTAACTCCGAAACTACTGGGCCGATCGTCAAAATTCAAACGGCGTCTGATAGCCCCGCAAAAACTGTCGAGCGAAACCTAATTTCATTGACCTCGAGGTCACCGATGACGTCACAGGTCAGGTCAAAGTAAAAATTATTAGCATTTTGGCTTCTTCACGTTTTGGGCTCTGGCCGCCGTCTTACAAGTCAGATCAGGCTCATTTTTGGTTCACACACTCGTGAACAGATGCTCTAGATACTCTGAGGGTACCAAACTTGTACTTTGATTTTCAGGTCAAGGTCAGGTCATCACAGGTCACGAAAATATTATATCATCCGTCGGTTACGTGACACATGTTTTATGGTCCATTTAGGCCAAACATTTCGAATTTGATGTCGTCTGTGTCATTCGAGGTCATTTTGAGTCAAATTTAGCTCAGGTCAGGTCACTTTCAGGTCAAAAAAGGTCAAATTTTGAAGTTAAAATTTTTCAACAAAAAAGGTGTCTATTGGATGCAGTTTGAGCTCAGGAACACGATGGTGCTAGTTATATTGGCGTACGATGTCAAATTCGTGCTGAAAAATTGATTTGAAAAATTAATAATTGTTAATTTTTTGCAATAATGCGTATAACTTGGCCATTTTTGAAGATATTTAGGTAAAACTTACTAGAGTTAGTCATAATAATGCGTTCTATCACATATATTCCGGTTTTTTCGAAAAGTCAAAAAGTTGTTGAAAAAAATGTAAAAATATAAATTTTGAATTTTATTATATCAAATTTTCGAAATTTTCAAAATTTCGAAAATCCGAGATAGCAGTTTGATAGCGCAGTCTATTCTGAGTCCTCTCATGCAAAGAAATTGGATCTAGCTTAAAAACTGAGCTCTTGGGAGCGATTGCCGTGGTTCAATGTTTTGCGTCGAAATCGGCCGAACATGACGTCACTCTGACGTCATTTCCGGCCGACCTATGGTAGGTACGAAGTTCAAATTTTGACACAATGTGTCAAATTGATGTAGCCAAAGGTACTGAAAGTTTGGCGTCGATACGTCAAGCGGTTTGGAAGTTATTGCAGAAAAACGGGAGGGGGGGGCTATAAATAGCCCCCCCCAGTGGGGCGCGGGTTAAAGCAAATATTTACTCCCCCTCCCCCTGGCTCCTGCATCGCCCGAAATAGACAAAGCGTACCTTATGTTTCCTAATAATAACACTTTTATCAGGATTTTTTTGCTTTATGCTGTTCAGCAGTAAGTCCGTAAGGAATCGAAATCCGAGGAGTTTTTGGATTTTGGACACTTTTTTTGGGGGGTATGTCCCCTACAGCGTCGAAAACGCCTTTCTGGATCCGCCTATGACATCATCTCGACTGGGATCTTGCCCCCCCCCCCCACGCCAAAATCGAATCCGCCGCCACTGCTTTGTTGTCAAATTGTGACATTTGATAAATAGTTACACGTTACTGCCGTTTCTATAGTTAAAAATTAATGCATTTTTACATTTGTGCCATTTAACAATAGATAATAGTGGCTTTTATAACTAATGTAGATGCAAAAGGTAACAATAAAGATTGCATTTGAAAAAGATAGCGAAACGCAGAGATGTCACGAAGAAACAACGATATCGAGACATCGATAAACCTGTCGGACCCGTCTCACTATGTGGCGCCTATCACGACAACGAACTCAACAGCCCTTGTTCACTCGCAGTTGCTCTACATTGTGCACATGTATGATGCATGGAATATGTATTTGACTGACGGTGTCAACAGTTTGCTAACAACAGTGTATATCAAAGGCCTTTTTCAGTTTTGTTGGGATCCTTCTGTTTCGTTTTGTTTATTGTCTATTTACCGCTTCCCATAGCCCGGTACCAGCGCTCATGCCATTGCGTCGGCCGCCGTTGTGCGCTCCCG